TGAGCCTGTAACTGAACAGCAGCAGTACACATACAATATTCAGATTGTGCAGCACTCCTCCTATGTCTTGTGCAGAAGGTTTTGAATTGATGAGTGTCTTGGAAGTCCCACTTTACTGATTTATTTAGTTCTTTATAGAGGCAGAAAAGTTGCCCTTTATGAGTCAGGCACTTGATACATCCATTACTGACGCAATAAACAGAGGATGCTGATACATTCTCTGTTTATTGCTCATCTCTTCCTTAAGAAAACAGGTTCAGTGTGGCAGGCTGGTTTTGTATTGCATCTCCTCTGTTACCTCAGTGTGCAGAGGGAACAGTGAAATGATCTCCTTGCAAACAATTTTCTAAACTGGGTAAAAACAAACTAATCCTAATGAGCCCAAGTATTAAATAAAGATGTTGAAGATGGTTTCAAATGAAAAGTGTGGTGACACAAAATTGTAATTAATTGCACTCAGTTGCACCCTCTGAGCTTATTTTCGCTGTATTTGGTTTGTTAATGATGATCTCACAACTCTGTAAACTTCAGAAAATGAATCATCACAAAAAAGAACACGATGAATATCTTGCTTGAGGATATGACAGCCGTGTCCAGAGTCTAAACCTTCACACTGTACAGATATTAAGTAAATCTTAATACATCAGCAAAAATACTTGCATATTTGAGTGTATTAAGAAAATAATATTATTATAAAATAATTAAATACATTATGAGCAGTTATGAGTAATGAAATCATATATAATAGAAATATATCTACAGTATATTAATGCATGTATGTTAAAAAGATGTTGCCTTATATGCATTTGATCCATCAATTGTAAGTCACCTTTGTTAAGGCATTGGCCAAATTGTGGAGTTCTGTTTCATTCTAAATTTGTTTAAACTCTGTACATGCTGAGCTAGAGAAAATAGACACCTGTTGTGTGGGGTGTTCATAGAAAAAGCAAGTGATATTTCAGAGCTACTGGAAGACAAGGATAAGCTTCGTCAGAAATACCATTATATTATGTACTGTAATCTGCATGTTTGACCAAAATGCTACTCCTAAATAGATACTGGTCCAAAATGCTCAAAAGGCTTCTCTACAAGGCAACATTTATGTTAAGCAAGAGAAAGTCTAAAGTATAAAAACTGCTTGTAAATTCTCTGGTGCAGAGCATAGCAGGGAGATTCACGTACCTGTTAGTTCTCTGAAAATGGCCTTTTTGTAACAAATTAAAGCTGCACTGAACTGTGCTTTTGACAACTTGCAAACCTACAAATTCATTTCAGTATTATAATATATGCAGTATTTCCACCCATCCCATTTTCTATCTATCCATTTTCTAACCACTTCATCCAATTAGGTATGGGGAAATGGGAACCAGAACTATCCCAGTAAGCAACGGGTGCAAGGCACGAAACACCCTGGACAGGACGCCAGTCCACCACCCCACAGACAGACGCAAACACACACACTTGCAGCAGAGGCAGTTTTCCCAGCAGTGAAATAACATACCAGTTTATCTCAGGACTGTGGATCCAAGCCCCCACAAACAAAGGGATAACATACAAACTCCACACAAATAGCACCCCAGGTCTGAAACAGAGACCCTGTTTCAGAGTGGGTAACCTTACCCATCCCCAGTGGGCAACGCTCTGACTTGCTGGTATGAGAGTACTTGTGGTGCAATTAGTGTGTTAAAATTTAAAAAGGCACAACCACCATGTAAATACCCATGCAGCCTCCCCTCCTCAGTCTCATTTGCCTTTCAATCCAGAAAGCGGGTGGTTGTTTGCACGTGAGTGTACCAGGCAAACTTTTTCCTTTTGAGCTCTGAGCACAATGAAGAGGGCTACCCAGTCACAACAGAAGAAAATGAACATCCTCATTCAGCTTTGCTATGTGTGAGAGACAGGGAAATGATAATGAGTTTGCAATCCCTGAGTGATTTGCATCATGTTGCACTGAGGCAGAGTGATGGTGCTTTGCATTAATTTTAAGAAAATGCAATAGTTTTAAGGCATGTATAAATGCCCATATGTATATACATTTGTGCTTATATACTGTATACTGTGCATATAATCATTTTACATATAAAATGCTACTTGAAGATGTTGGCTCTTTAAGCAGGCTTATCTCACCATGTGCATACTATTAACCAAAATTGATAAATTGTGCAGATTGAGCAAGAAAAAAGGGTGTCTCTCTCTAAACCTATTGATGTATATCTCTATATTCCAAGACTGTCTGCCTCCATACTATATCAGTATCTATTTCCATCCATTTCTTTCATCTGTCCGTATTGCTCTGTTTTCTGCAGGTGTTATATGGTGACAGCTGGTGCATGATAAATGACATTTTGAATAAAGTATGAGTACACTGTAGATAACATTCCTGAAATGAAAAACATTAAAATAAAAAACTAGGTTCCAGTAGAAATTGCTTCTGATTTTCTGCATTGCCCTCTATCACAGCCTATTTAAGACCAATGATACTGGAGTGAAGTGGATCTGTGTAACTGCCTTGGAATTGGGCCTCCTGTATAACATAGGTATTGATTGACTGAGAGTAGGCTGATAGGATTGGCTGACCTCACAAATGCTCTCTGCTGGCTGATAGCCAATCCCCCTTCCCTCCAGAGAATGGGCCAGTTCTGCCTGGACCAAAGATTCAGTTCTTCAGTCCCTGCTGACAAGGTTCTTTAAAGGTCCACAAAGTTTTGGCACAGAGTTTCCATCTAGATGTATAATATAGACATTTGAATTGCCAGGAAGGAGACTGAAAATATATTGCAACAAAGTAAAAGAAATATGCAGCATTCCTTCAGCACTACAACATTAACCAAACTCTAAAGGAGGGTATAAGTAGTCTGCATGAAAATAGAAGATGAATAATAGATGAGAAAGATATAGTGAACCTGTAAAAAAGAATACTTCATACAGGTGTATGACAAACCTGTCTTGAATATATATTTCTTGTTCTAAAATTAGTTCCAACAGTATTGGATAATTTTATCATAACTGACAAAGCATTTCTTAAGGGAATAAGATGGGTCCAAACCAATATTTCACTTAGTCCTGCTGGTATTTTTCCAGTCTTAAGGTAATGGGGCATGTTATTCATACTCCTATGTCGGATATTTCAGTTCTCATTTAGAATGAGAGTTGTACTTACAGATTGGAAAACTGCAAACATGATATCACTTCATAAAAAAGAGGAACAGAACTGAACCAAAAATAAAACCATGGGCCAACCAGTTACACTTCTGTTACTAGTAACATTATGGAAAGGATAAACTATACCTGGGCGGCATGGTGGCACAGTGGTTAGCATTTGACTTTCTAACGGTTCAATTTCTGGGGTGCAATCTGCAGGGTGTTTGCATGTTCAAACACATTTGTGTGGATTTCATCTGGATGCTCAGGTTTCCTCCAAGAGTCCAAAGACATCCTGGTAAGTTCATTGGATTCTGGGACAATCCAATGGGTGAATGTGTGTCAGTGTTTGTGTGTGCTCTGCAATGAACTTGCGTCCCATCCATGTCATACACTACCTTGCTCCCATTCCCTGCTGAAATAGGCTTCAGCTCCCCTGTGACCCTGTAATGAATAAAGCAGTTAGTAGATGGCTGGATATACTTACAAATGGCATTTAAAGAGACAATCAACAGATTAGAATAGAAAGGTGAAATCTTTTGTAACAAAATGTTGAATTCTGAGAGCATGAGAGAACATAATATAACTCTAAATCAGAAGTTACTATATAAGCATGTTCACTGATCTGCATTGGATGCCATACCTCATCCAAGTTTGTCCCACAAATCTTCAGTGGAATTCAAGTCTGCTGATTATAGCATCTGTGACATAACTTATATTTCTGGCTCACAAATTAGCTGCTTCTACATGAGTAGCTTTGTTTTCCACCTGGAATGTCATCACAAAAGGAAGAGGCCACTGGTGTAATTTTTGGTCCTGTGGCAGTATAAACCAGCAGTGGAGATAGGCTTGGTTCCGAGTCCGAAAAACACTAGGCACTAGGTGTAGTTAAAAACTGGGCGAGAATCAAATCTGAGAGATAAACAAAACAGCTGACGTTTGGAATAAGCAAAGGTCAAACCCAAAGGTGGCAAACATAACAGGTGCAGCAAGAATTCTGACCCTGAAGCAGGCTTTAACACAGAGCAGTGACTGAGGAGGGAAGGTATCTTAAATAGCAGTCTTGATGATTACTGGAAACAGGTGTGGATGCTAATTACTGAAGCAGCATGGTAATGAGTAGTCACAGCAAATTTCTGCTGCAACAGAAATATAGTAGGACAGAGAGCAGAGCGCTGGTGCTAGAGAATTCATGTTCAGGGCTTGAGATATGCCGCTATACTGTGAGCAAAAACTAGCATAATTTTGAGCAGTGTAATTTTACTGTGCTTCACAGCAGCAGTCCATGAGGTCTCAGGACTTGCTCAGTGCAGCACTGTGCAGTTAGGCTACCATCAATCACAACAGGTGGAGTTCAGCAGCCATTGACCGTCATACCTGGATTTCACCTATTTGCCTGTTGCTCACAAATAACTATTGTTCTTCATTTCTGTGCCAAACTAACTGATGTCTTTCAGGGGGGTCTTTATAAAATCTTGATCATCTAAAGGCGACTTAGCTCACCTGCTGGCAAGTCCCACTTGTGATGACTTAGTCCAGGCTCCTGCCAATCTACGTGCAGAATGAGCATATCTTTCTGTAGTTCTCCCATGTCAGATCAGGGGTGAGAACCAGGATTTTTTGCAGCTGAATATTGAGAAGTTAAAGGGAATGAACAACTGGGGTTCTAAATTTAAGTAATGACCAAAAAATGACATAGTAGCTGTCTGCAGTGTGTAGGTCTTTAGATTTATAATGGATTTCATTTCCTTAAATTTCTATGGGCAGTGATGTGTATTTAAGGCTTCTATGATGCTGATTTATTACTTTTTATATGGCGTTAATGGATCACTGTCTTTGTCTCTTTCTTACTCTGGCAGGGTGCAGGTGGAGTTCTATGTGAATGAAAACACGTTCAAGGAGCGCCTCAAGCTGTTTTTCATTAAAAACCAAAGATCGAGTGAGTGTAAACTTCTTGATTTTCTAATAGAGTTTCAAATCCGTAGTCTTATGGCATACTGTAATAAGATCTGTCCAGAATCCCAGACAGAATTAGTCAAGGGTTCCAGTAAACTAATGTGATTTTGTTTGTTGGGAAAAATTAATTTGCATAGAAAATCTTCATAAAAAGGCTTGCACAACAGAAAATGCCATGCCTCCAAAACAGTCGTAATATAAAAAAATATATTTTTGTGTGTTTATAAATTAATACCAGACATTTGAACCACTAACAAATCAATGCTGGAAATCAATGATCAGCCAATTTGAGCTGTAGTGCAGCTTCATAGTACAGTAGCTAGATGTGAAGGTTTTTTATTAGGTTTTCAAAAATAACAAGGAATATTAGAGCTAACAAGAACTTGGAGATGTAAACAAACGCACTTGTAGTGGTTTGATGGGTTTACTGAGACAATTATTAATTGTAGCAGTAATCACGAGGTTGTTCGTTGGGGCTTTTAGAAAATCAATCGTCAGAACAACTAACAACGCTCACACACGGGCTCAATACACGAGATACATTTATTAATATAAACTGTGCACCAAACATATACTAGTCTGCCTGGATACGAGCGGCAGACCTTACTGTGAGGGTTATCAATATACAAGGTATATAATCTCGAAGAGATGCAAACACAAAGAGATACACAACAGAGAATATATGTCAATATATATCGTTCGGTTACCAAATCGCTAATCAGTGTTATTACCCACTGTTACTCTAAGCTCGGAAGTAAATACATTACTCATGAATTAAATTGATACAACTTGTGTTGAGGTACAATTGAATTCTCGAGACGCAATGTAGAACATGGGGTTTACTTATCCACTGTGTTTGGATTTGGAATTTCCCGGCACGAACACCAAACCAGGTGACAGGCTCTGTTGCAGCCTCTGTTCCAGCGGTTGTCCAATGGGCGTTGTGTCGGCGTCCTCTGGCTACCGGCCAACCAGTCAAGGTGCAGCTCGGAGTAGGACGGGCGGAGGAATCTAACTGCGGCGCGCAGGGCAGTCGTTGCTCCGAGGGGATCTACCAGCAGTCCGGCTGGCTAGTAGAAAGTCTCTATGCACAGAGTGTGACCGCAAGTCCTCACAAGTCACTCTTTTACCTGGGAAGAAACTTGTTCGTTCCCGGTCCAGTGCTGCTTCTGAATAAGCTATTCAGGTTGTCGACGAGGGTCCAACTGTAGGCTGCCGTTGATCAAGTGGAGCATTCACGTTGGTAGAATTCTGAGTACGTACGGATCTTCGGCCTCGCGCTTAGAACAAAGTCCAAGTCCTTTTGCAGACAACAGCAGTTGTCACGTGATTGTCTCTGAGGATGCGCGAAAATGGCCAAGGAGAGCTCAGAACTGAGCTTGCGCTCCCTTTTTGATCAAGACCCAGATGTGTGCTGATTGGTTGAGAGTTTGGCGGGCATTGGAGACCCACGTGGTATTACCACGCCCTGCCAGTCCCTGATTGGTTGGTCAAGGTGAGATATAAGTCACTTACTCTTGACACTTAGGAATGCAGTCCAGATGTCCATTCGGCACTCCCTAGACTGATAGGTGCCAATGGATGACCATTGATCATGATAGCCAGGCTTAGCTAATTGCATCCCCGTCTGGGAGTTTGTTTCTTATCAAAAGAAAACATCTTAAATCAGCTTGCATGAATTCTTTCTCTGTGGCTGCACCACAGAGATGGAGGGTGAGATGGGGCCTCTTTTAGGAGCATACCAACGCTTAATTCTGTCTTTTTAACAAGCATTGCCGCTACACACTGTTTTGTTTCCATGAAACTGATGTACCCCAAAGGGCCTGGAATTATTTCAGCAGAATATGCCAGGGTGTAATGAGAAACAAAGGTGCACAGAACAAGTTTTTGGGTAGTGCTAAACTAGTTGATAAATGAGTTAATGAAAAGAAATGAACACAAGTTGATTCACTCTGTAAGGGGAAGATAGGAAGTAATCCATTTCACACCTTGGTTTCAAAGGTTATTTTACTGGTGGCTAATCAAATGCATTTGTTTTTTCCTTTGTTTTCTGAATCAAGACTGCAATTGCAGATTTGATTATTTGATTGCACCCTCAGCATAACAAGCGAACTGAATCGCATTGAAAAACAGTGCATGATTTCTCTCCAACTTTTCATTCTTAGCTCCTAGGAAAATCAAATCCAAACCATATTGGAACACCCTCATGACAGCTAATCCTCTCAAAATAATAAATGGAGAATGACAACAGCCACTGGCTGTTTTGGTCTTAGAAACTGTCTTTTCAAGATCAGTTAGGGTAGTTTGCTGCAGGTTGGTGTGATTGTAAGATGTTGCACTAACTTCTAGATATTCCTACATCCCAGCTTCTCACTTATGCAGATGTGTTTCATTATTTGATTACTGTAAATTTTTTCTCCAGGGCCTTCTAGACCCCCCCACAAGAAACACATTTCAAGACTGGTGAGATCTGAAATTGGGTGCAAATAAAACATCCAAAATGTAAAGGATCTTCAAAAAAGCTATTAATTGGGTGAATGATTAATAAGTTGGCATCAAAATGAGTTTGGGTCAAGTACCAAGAGCTTTTACTGGAACAAATGCTGTAAAAACCCCATAACTCTAATGGACTCTAGCTTGTCCCCTCTGCTGTTTGCTATGAACATGATTTGTGCCTGAACATCTGAAACAAGGATCCGCTGTATTGTTCATACCTCTATTGACATAGAAATCTTTCACTCTGAATTTCACTCTGCCTGTTGGCAATCATGTGCCATTCTTTCACTGTGCTATCCTATGGTTTTCCCATGCTTTCGTAGGCATTATTTTTTCATAGAGAATGGATGGAAGAAGCTGGGTGATGCCACCATCATAGAACAACTACTCCACTACTGCATAGCAGTATTATAGCCTTAGGTAGAAAAGCACTGTTAACTAATTATTCCATATCTTAGATTGTCTTGAACACCACTTACTAGGATTAAATGAGGAGTTTAATAAGGATAGATGAGATATTATGGTCAAAAGGATTATAGATTTGATTTGTAGATTAGTGAGAACATTTTGAAACTAGTAATCTACAGATCCAGAAGACTGACTCCTGAACATTTTCAAGTCACAATGTCATTTTACACCATAGTGAAGGTTTTCTTGTCTGAACCAAAGCGCGCCTGCAGACTGACATCTAATTTGGGCTCTGTGCTGTGTTTCAGGTCTGCGAGTACGACTGTTCAACTTCTCCCTGAAGCTCCTGAGCTGTCTCCTGTACATCATCAGAGTCCTGCTAGATGACCCAAGGGAGGGCAGGGGGGGCTGGTGAGTGGGTCCTGGCACTGGAGTCCCTCTGGTGGCTGGGGAATCTCCAGTTCTGGTCTCCTAGGGTTCAAATGAGAATAAGGACCAAATGAACAAGTCTGTTCTTAAACTCATTGTTAGCCAGTGTAGGGGGGGGTGGGGGTTTTAGGGTTAGTGACATTCCAATGTGTAAATAAGGAATATAAGTTGAAGGGAGAAGGGTTGTAAGTCCTGGTAGCAGCATAGAGATGAAGTGGCCGTTCTCTATGTGTTCTTACCACTTTCACCTTAAACTAGTTACAACTTAGGTTGCTTCACCTCTGCTTATTGACATATATACTGAAGATGTTTGAGTAAGGAACTGCTTCAGCATTGGCTTCAAAGTAACAAGTAGGGGTTAATTCTACTCTTAAAAGTAGAAAGGAAAACCAGTGTTTCAGCAGTTGAGTCCACTGGCACCAAAAGATGGCTCAAGAATTGAAATATTTCCACAGTATGGAATTAGTCTGTACATTTGTACATATTGCAAAGGAACAAGTAATAGGTTTATTCCATGCTGAAAAAAAGAAGAAAGAGAACACAACGTTTCGGCCGTGGAGCCTTCTTCAGGTGTCAGGTGCC